CATCCCCAGGGCCTCAGCAGGAGCGACCGTGGACTTGCAGCCTCCAGAGCTCTGACGGGATTGTTTTGCTGTGTGAGGCACCCATGCGTGGCCCTTTGTTGTGGCCGCCCTAGGGAACTGACGCCTGCCTGGCTGGCTCCCTTGCAGGGGAGGGCTGGGGCTCTGGTCCACAGGGCCGTGCTCTCTCTCTCTGTGGGCGCACACACACACCAGGTGGCTTTCTTCCCTCCTCCTCTTAGAGGTTGGTGGCCCTGCTTGTGCGACCCCATGCAGTCTAAGTGGGGAGCGTGGCCCCAGGGCCAGGCTCGCTACTTACCAGCTCTGTGACTTTGGACAATTCCTTAACTTTGGGCAGGGGCCTAGTTTCTTCATCCTTAAACTGAGGGTAATAGCAGTACCTGCCTCGAAAGGCTCCTGTGATACGCTGAGTAGCACTGGCTGCGGGAGCTCAGGGCAGGGGTGACAGCCGTCCTCGCCTCTCCCCTCAAGGTGGCAGCGTGCTTTATACCCAAGCATGGAAGGAATGCTTGATATTGATTTGATAGAGATGTGAGGAGCATTTCTCTTACCAAAAAAAAATCCAGTGCCGTGCATTCAGTTCTTTGAAGGCATTCCATTGTGCCTTCTCACACAGGATTTTAAACGTGGCCCTTCTCCCTCCCGACCGCAAGGGAAGCGAGAAACTAAAGTGCCCATCAGGCCCCTTGAGAGCCTGCTGTGAGGATGGCGTGGGGAATGGGGACCTGAGGGCCGGGGCTGCCTTCCTCGTGGCCAGTGGGGCCCAAACCAGGAAACTTAGAAAATAAATAGAACACAAAAAACCCGAGAGGAACATAAACCATGTCAGTGGCGGCTGTGATCCTGAACCTTTGTCCTGGGCTGTGGGGCCCGAGTCTGCTGTGCAGAATCGAGAAGTCTGCTGCGCACGGCTGCTAACTCACCCTGCCGGTGGATGGCCGGGTGGTCGTCCCTCCTTCAGGTGGATCGTCACCTGGTCATTTGCTTTGTCTGCAGACTGTTTCTCTGTATAAAGAACCTTATTCTGGAAAATATTAGAACAGTGTGCCGCGCCTCTGGCTGTGTTTTGAGAAAGGGAGTGAAACGTCCTGGTTTGTTCCACAGATGGACAGTTTTGTCCTCGTGGGAATGACAGGACTAGCGTGCTGTGACCTGCCGTCACAGGAACACTCCCCACTCGGGGGAGCCAGAACTGCTTGTCACCTTCCGCAGGGTCAGATGGGCTCTTTCAGAAATGTCTGTTTAGCTTCCTTCTTAGTGGCTTTGAATGAATGGATCCGCTTTGCAGCCGTGGCTGTGCCTGTGGCAGCCCAGCGAGGGGCAGAGGGAGGAGGAGGTGGCCTTGAGAGCTGGGCGCGGGCCTTCCAGACGAGACCGCAGGTGCCGAGCAGTTGGCGCACTCCTCAAAGCTAAGCACACTGCTGACGCGGCGGACGGAGACCGAAGTTCAGACACAGGGAGGACACCCATGCCCAGGTGCTTCCGACTTCAGTCACCTTCCGAACCGACTTCCTGTCCCGTGTGCTTGTTGCAAAGCTGAGGGCGCGGCTCCTGGGCTTGGGTTCCATCATTGCCATGGTCCCCGGAGGCTCCCCTCTGGAGTCTGCTCTCTTTCATCCCTCCTCCTGGCCGCCACCCATCTCCCAGCATCTGATGCGTGGTCTTTTGTCTGCAAGGGCTCTTATAAAAGATACTGTGGGTGGATCTGCACATTTTTAGTTAAGGACTTCTTGTCAGTGGTAGTATGCCATACATTTTGTTGTTTCTGTTGTTGCTTGCAACATTAGGATCTATCAGTGTTGCTGTACACATGGCTAGTTTGTTCCCGGTGGCTGCTGCATAGCGCTAGGGGGTGGGCACCCCCAGGGATGGACAACACATCCCTGCACACACACAGTGCCTCAAGGAACGCTCTCCTGTGAGTCCCATGGACCCGCAGCACAGTCCTCTGAGGGACCCACCCAGATGTGGGGTGTCAGATCCTAGGGCAGAGGCACACAAGCTTGATTTGACCACATTGGCAGGACTGCCCCGGTTGGGCCGCACCAGGTGACCCTCCCACTTAGCCCCCACACCCGGCCAACAGTTGGCCCTGTCCCCTTTCTCGTTTACTGCTGGTCTGATAGTCATACAGTGATCACTCAGGGCTTTAATTTGCATTTCCCCGATTACTCTGAGTTTGAGCGGCCTTCAGGGCTTCGTCAGCCTGGTTGAGACATGGGCAGCGCTTAGAGCAGTGCCTTGCACAGGCCCAGCAGGGTGTCTGTTGTTGTTCTGTAAATACAAGTATCATTTAAATTATTGTTGATCTAATAATGGTGCCCTAATATAAAACTTCTGTTCCAGTGACTGTTTATGATCTTGACTCACGTCCCTGTTCATCGTTTGTCTTCCGTGTAGAACGCAGTCTGTCCACCATGAACTTCTCTCCGTTTGCATTGTCATCCCCCCTCTACTAGCTCCCGAGACCTGCGTCCACTCTGGCCACCTCCGCACTCCGGCGCGAGTTCTCCACCTCGGGCTAGCGGGATCTCTCTCTCCTGTCCCCGGCTTCCCATTTCTCTTGGGATAAACCCTCAAGGTAGCCCTTGCCTCCCCGGTGGGCCTCCTCCTGACCCTAGCTCCACCTTCCCGCCCTATTCGGGGCCTACAGCCTCCCTTTCCTTCATTCCTAACGTGTGGAATGATTTGCCAGCCCCTGCCCCCAAGTCAATTTCTTCTTAATGCAGAGTTCAGCTCAAATGGCACTTCCCTGATCCCTAGACTGGGTCAGTTCTCCAGATACCCTTTCATGGCTCTTAAGTCATCCATGATCAAGTAATCAATCTGCAATCATCTATTTCAAGTCCTTCTCCGCACCTGCCTGCCCTGAGGCTGCAGCTGCTCCCTTCCCGCTGTTCCTGCGCCCAGCACAGTGCTCAGCGCTCAGCTAATCCCTGCAGTGGATTTTGAACAAAGACCTGGCAGAATAATTTTAATCAAAGACAGCCAAAGCGAAGCTTGGTCCTAAACTGGCGGAGGAGCACTGACCCTCGCAGACCAAGCTGGCTGGCTGCTGCGCCCATGCGTTGGGCCCTGGCTGCTGACCTCAGGCCTCCGGGGAGCCTGTGACACAGATGAGGGAGAAGACAGATAAAGGGCTGCATCTTGAGCGATGATGAAGTACGACCAAACTATGAAAATCTTGCTTTGGACACACTGTAGAAGCTTTTAAGAGTGCCTAGCTAAAACAATAAGGAAATCTAATCAGCCAGGAAAATGACTCTTCAGGACAGGCTCCATTCTGACTCAGCTCCCAGCCTTTGTGAATCCAGTTCTGTTTCTTTCCGTACAAAGACTGCGCTGGCGCCTCACTTCGCCTCCATGGGTTTTCCAAAAGCTGTTGAGTCAAATGAGATCTTAAGTACTTTAAGTATGCACAGTTGTATTGAGAATCAGGAGAACTTTTGTGAATCTTTGTGTATAGCAAATAAGCATGCGCATTTCTTACTGATGTGAAGTTGGTGGTCCTCAGGAGTCTAGTGTACACATCTTCCCGGGGCGGGGCGGGGCGGGGCGGGGCAGGGAATGGACGATGGGACAGGACGACCAGCTTCCACGGTTCAACCACCATCTCTACTGGGTCTGCTTCCATCACACTCAGCTGCCTCCTGGATGGCCCCCTCGTGCCCCAGCGCCAAAGATTGTACTGCCAACCCGACCTCCTCCACCTCTTCTTGTGAATGGCCTCCCCACCCACCCTGCTCACCCGCCAACTAGTGGCCTGTGGGGTCCCTGACTGGGTCGTAGGAGGCCTGCACGCAGGGGCCCTAAGTGACATGAAGGGCGGACTCCTAGGTCCTGCAGGCTGCAGGCCGCAGGCGAGGGGGCCCCAAGCCGGCATGCAGGCCATTGAAAGCCTGGAGCCTGCGGCCAGCAGCAGCACAGTCTCGCGTGAGGGTGCCTTGTTCATGGGCGCCGGTGTGGCCGAGGGGTGATGGGCAGCAGCCCGCACTTCTGTGTGCTCCTCCGACTCTGGCCGGGTGGCGGGACCGCAGCCTTCAGGTGACTTGGGGACAGACGCCGGGCAGCCGTCCAGCTCTTCCCTGGGTCTCACTCACACCCTTGGGCTGCTCACTGGGAGCCTGGGGCAGGAGTATTCCGGGGGAGCGCCTCTCCACGGAGGGCGCAGCATCCTTCCCTGCCTCCTCCCCGCAGGGCTCAGGGCCCAGCATGACTCTGGCCCCCCTCACGTCCCTGCATGTTCATGCCGATAGGGACCGCGGATGGCCATGGCCCTGGCACCCTGGCCTGGTCCTGTGGGCGCCCTGCCGATGCCACTTCGGGTCTGCCAAACCCGGGGCTCCAGGAGGTGGCCCCCGCCACCTAAGGCCTGTCCACCAGCCTCCCCACCTCCCCTGACGCTGGCCCTCTCCCGCCCGCCCCGCCTGCTCCTCACAGAGGCGGCTGGGCCTCACCGCTCCCCACGGCCTCCCTGTCTGCCTTAGTAACATTGCCACACATGCCCACCACTCTTTCTTCACTTATCACCATCTGCAAACCCACTATTTAGTAATCTAGGTCCACCTTTGTGGCCACAGTGGGACCGTGAGTGGCACCCTCGCCTGTCTCCCTCACGGCTGCAGCCCAGCACCCAAGACAGGGTGGGCGACACTTGACAGCTGGGGATGGAAGAAACTCACTCCACAGCCCTGCACGCACATGTCCCTTTGCCACCCAGCTGCTCTCATGAAGGCAACGTCCAGCCTCAGCACAATGCTTCCTCTCTCAACCTCGCTCTTTGTGAGTAGGTGTCAAGCTAGCAAGCCGAGTGGCATAACCAGACCAAATCTGAGATCTTTTCTCCCAAAAAATCAGCAGTTTTGTTCAGGTGTAAATGCTGCAGCTACCTTGCACGCCATGTTATCCCAAGAGGGTGATTCTTGGACCTGAAGATGCTAGCAGAGCTTCCGCTAGGCTAAGTTTCCGTTTCTGTGTTTCAGATCAATGCAAAGAAGGAATGTACAGTTGACCTGGTGTTTACCACGGAGCGCTACAACTCAGAGGTAAGCGGCCACAATTAGTGAGGCATCCTGTTAGCAACTCGTGTGAATGTATTTTTTAAGAAAAGTGAGAATCTAATGTACAGTGACCTGGAGGTTTGCTTGTGTTTTGTCTTTTCCTGCTTTGTTTTCTATTTGGTCTCAAGAATTGAAGAACAGAGCTAGGCGAGAACTCAAGATTTAGCTCCTTGGACTTCGTGGCCTTATGCAGGGTTGTGTTTAAAACTCTGCACACAGCCAGCATCCCCTCCTTCCTTTGCGCCTGGGGAGACTGTCCCAGCTCCCTTGGGTCCCCCTCCCTAGCACCTCAGAGTCCTTAGAATGACTCTCTCAAATGCCAATCTGTTCCTCTTCCTGCCAACTGGTGGCACTTCTCCTTAGCAGGCTGGCATAGCGTGAGGTGATTCCAGGAGCTTCTGTGCACTGAGGAGCTCTGTGAAACACAGAGCAGAGCCCATGCCGGCCACAGGCACTATTTGCCTCTCTACAAGCCCGACCAAGCAGGCCATGGTTTGCCAGCTTTCCTTTTCCCGTTCTCAGGAAGAGAGTAAACAGAAAACGCATACAGAAATTAGAACCAGATGCCCTTCCCTCTGCTGGGCCAGCATCCAGAACAGGGGTGGAGCCGGGACCAGCCACGTTCCCTGTGCGGTACTGAGTCAGAGCAGCCGGCACTATGGCCAGCCTTCCAGGGCCTCAGCAGGGCCTGACCCCGCAGCCCGAGGCTTCTGGAAGAATGCTTCCAGTATTTGGAAACCAGTTCTAACAAGACAACAATATACTCTGACTTCACTAATTAACCTAAGAATTAAAATGTTCTTAAAGCGTGAGGAAGATGCCTTTGACTTCTGGTGTTGCAGACTTGAAAGTGTTAGCTTACACCTAAAGGGGAACAATTACTAGGTGGTTTTGACCGACGCTACCTTTCCCTGAAGAGCACAGCTAGCTACCTGCCATGTTCCATGCCACGGGCCAGGGAGGGTTCTTTCACCTTCAGAAAACTGCTTTGATTCTGTGCAGCTGTTCTTGGGGAAAGGGAAAGGAAAACCAAAGGGGGCGATGCCTGGTTCCTCGTGTCTTCCCTGGATGGGTGCCCGTGCCCAGCCCTGTCCTGTGCCTCCGATGAGCCTCCTCCTGAATGCTCACCTTCTCCTTTCTCTGTGTTGCACCAATACTTAGGATGTTAAGGCACACTGAAATGCCGTCTCATTCAAAACGAGCGCTCACAGGAGGAAAAGCTGCTATGGGAAAGCCTATTTCAGTTTTTTGAGTGAGTTCTAGAAATGGGCTTCTTCAGCAGATCCAATTTTGATTACAGTTTGTTTCCTCGTGGGCTTCTTTTGAAGTTTATTTTTGGTGTGGTTCTCCCTGCGACTGCACCCAGTTTAAGCAGCTGCAAATGTGGAAAGAAGGTTGTTGCCGCAGTTGCTCACCGACCTCCCTGTAAGAGGAGTTCTTGAGGCGGGACGCACGGACGGGCTCCGGAGGGCCACGACGGCCTCAGACTCCAGGCCCAGAGCAGCCGGGGAGAGTGCATGTCGTTTTTCTGGGAATAGGCTTCCCGGCTTTTGTTGTTGGGTTAAGGAATCTCTGCTCTAAAAGGGTGAAGACGCACTACCCTGGAAATGAGCCCCACATCCGCTGTCTAGTTGAAGCAGCCCGCTGTCCGGCTCCAGATGTCTCTGGACTGGAAAATAAGTGAGGGTGATCCCAGAGTACTCAGTCCATCTACACTTAGATATGAACGAGGACAAACATCCCGCGGTCACGCAGCTAGTTGAATTAGCCCCATGTGGTGATGTGCACCTCCACTCCTTCCGGATTTGCTCTCCGAGTGGAGAGAGGGAGTTAGCACAGTGCCTGGGCTTTGGCCTCGGCCAGGAGCTCAAGTCCTGGCTTCCCGCTGACTGCCTGTTAGACATGGAGTAGCTTCCTCTTTAAGCTTCAGTATCTTCATCTGTGAAACTTGAATAAGAGGACCAAGTTCATAAGGCAGCGTGAAGGTGTTGCCATTTTTGTCACAGGGAGCCAGTTGCATCTTTTGGTTCAAGTTAACAAGCCTGAGGTCCAGCCGGGCGTCGTGCTGGTGCACAGTAGAGAGCAAGGTCCCCGCTGTCCTAAGAGTTTGAGCCAGGCAGCGCTCGGCGACAGCAGGGGGGCTTCTTTGGACGGGGCCCAGCATTATTTATAAGGCACCATCAGGAAGCGGGAGTTTAAATGACAGCCCAGAGCGGAGGACTGACGTGTTCACTCTGCACAAAGCCAAGGCCACTGTCTGCTGACGCCGGTGCCTGCCTGCCCTTGCAGGGAACTTCTCCGTCTGCGCGTGTTGCGGGGGAGAGTGGTGGGTAACCATCCTGTTCAATTCCAAAATCTTTATTTCAGGAAGGCGAGGAAAGTTTGGGGAAATGTTCTGCTCGAGTGTTCTTCAGGAACCGGAAGCCCAGACCCGCCGTTAATGTCACCTGTGCACGGCTCATGGAGAAGACCAAACGACAGCAAGAGGACTACCGGCTTTACAAGCAAATGAAGCAACTGAGAAACCCCCTGGACGGAGTCAGCATACCTGGTATGAATTCGTGTCCAGAATTTCTACCTTCGGGAATGTATGTGATCACTACATCTTAAAAAGAACGATCATTCAAGTTTTTATCCCCAAAGTGGGGCTTTAATTCACCTACGGCATGTGGTACACCTCACTTAAACAAAACCCAGGGGTATCACCTTCTTTTCCATCTCCAGTACAGTGTGGCCACTCCGCCAACACCTCCTGCCTTGGACGTCGCGCCTCCCTGCTGGGCGGTGGGGGCAGGGCCAGGCCGCCCGCCGAGCAGAGGCCTCCGCGACAGCACGCGCCTGTAGGCCCCAGTTTTCAGGGCTGAGTCAGAACCTGAGGGGACACGTCCGGAGACTTCCGCCGGCGGCTTTGGAAGACTGGGTGAGGGGACGCCGTCCAGGGCCTCCCCCTGCGCAGCACGCCCGCCAGAGCTGCGACAGCCGGCGTCTGGGTCCTGGGCGGCGGCTGCGGCGGAGTCGGGTTCATCTCGCCTTCGCTCAAGGGCTGACGGCAGCCGCGTCTCTAACAGGAAGCGCGCGCGGCCCTCCGAGGTGACTCGGCTGACGCGAAGCCGAGCTCCTCTCTCCCAGCTCCCGCCAGGGAGGCGGGCGCCGCCGACAAACGCAAGTCCCGAAGCCGCCGCCCACTCCGGATTGGCGCGTGGGGACGGAGCTTAGTGTGGCTTCGCGGCACCGCCCGCAGCCCTCCGGGCACGCTCTCTCCGTCGGCGGGGGCGGGGCGGGGCCGCCTCAGCGCGCCTGCGCCCCTCGGGGGCGACTCTGAGGGGCGTGGCGGTGGAGCGCTGCTGCTGGCGTCTCGGCGATTCAGGAGCCCGCGTGGTTCTCGCTGTGGTTCTGAGAACTCGGATTCAGGCCTGTTCCAAAGAACTGAGCGGAGCCATTCACATCTTACACTGGAGTGGAATTTGTTTATATTTAGCACTGCCTGAAATAAAGGGGCTAATGACTAAGCTAGTTATTTAGGGATTTTTTTGCCCCTTAGCGTTAGTTGGGGAAATAGAGGGCTATATAGATTCTCCTTAAAACACAGCTTTAGACATTGGCTAGGACCTTTTCTCCGAATCTGTGCACAGGATCACCAGATTCTGGACGCCTTTCAAAAGTGCCGGTTAACTGGATCACGTTCAGTTAATAAGGCCGCTATGCCCGCAAAAATCGTTCTGTCGTCTAACAATGTGGCTACTGTGAAGTGTCAAAATTTTTCTAATAGAGGGTACCTTTTCATCGACAAAACTCGCAGGTTCTCTTGTTACGTTAAATTCAGCAGGGAAATGCAACGGTGCTATTTATAGTCTGTGTATCAGATTATCTCGTTAAAATTACTGAAAGAGTTTGGCTTTAGGTAAAGACTCGGTCGTGGAGAGATCTCGGAGCAGCCAGCAGCCCGGATCCCGGCGGCGTCCGCCCCCCCCCCCCCCCCCCCCCCCCCCCCCCCCCCCCCCCCC